GGATCCCGAGAAGAGAGGGGCTCATGTACCGTCTGGGCAGGGCGGTCTCTGCCCTGCCTCCCCTGCCCTCCCTTCCCCCAGCTGCAGCCTCGGCAGGCACGGCCAAAGCCCGGAGGTTTTGGGGTTTGGTCTGAGGGGACCTGTCATGATCAAGAGGGTTAGCCAGCAGCCTGGGAACTAAGGGGTTAACCTTACCTAAGTCAGGTACATTCAGCCAATAGGAATTTCAAACTGGGACAAAGGGGTGTTGGGTTTCTCCTCCTTTGTCCCAGCGGTTTTTCTCTCCAGCTACTCAGGGAGTCAGACACAATCTCCCTCCAAGAACAGACTCTTCACTAGCTGTAAGTAGGGCAAAGTTGAGATCAATCTGTTCGGTTTTATTGTTTTCTGGGTTGGGAAAGGGGATCGGGGGTCTGTGCATTTCAAAGGGGTTTGCTCTGCATCGGGGGGCCCGTCCATACAGGCGAACTAGACGGTCGCTTAGGGCACCAAGTTCAATGTGGCGCCAAATGGTGGCGCAATATCATTGAGGGGTTCAGAGGCGGGGGCGCCGATTTCATGGGTCGCCTCGGGCGCCAGTTGCTGGCAGCTAGTCTAGGGCCGCCCTGCTCTCCTCTCTAACTACGCTCCCGGCCCATGGTGGGTGTCCCTCCATGGTATATTCCTTTGTGACGTTTCCATTGTGCTTGCAACAGGAATATTGTGGTGATAATAAAGGTTCTTTCTCTTTTCCTTTAAAAAAACAAGCGCTCAGGACAAAGGAGGGAGAAACCCAACATTCCTTTGTCCCCGTTTGAAATTCCTACCTACATTCCTATTGGCTGACTCTACCTGACTTAGGTAAGGTTAACCCCTTAGTTCCCAGACTGCTGGCTAAACCTCATGATCACGACAGGGCCGCTGAACCTGTGAGATCAGGGGTGGGCAGGCCCCGGGCTCACCTTTCACATCCAGGATCATGCCCTCGAACATCTGGCTCCAGATCCGCCCGAACGAATCGATTCTCCAGGCCTGGCGGGGAACTCGGCTCTCTGCCCACAGCACCACCTTGGCGCCTTTCCCGGCCTGCCCAATCACCTGCAGGCTCA